ATTCGTTAGAAAAAATTATAAGAGTTTATTTAGTTATAAAATTTATTTTTTTATAAAATGTTTTTAATTTATTGAAACGAAGAAAAAATTTACTTTACTGTTCAACTTGAAGAATTTTTCAATTTATTTTTTGAAATACTTTCCAAAATTTTTTAGAATAGAAATACCCTTAAAAATTAGTACACAATTAAATGCACAATTTATGCTATAAAAAATTTGTTCCAGTTTTATTAAAATAAATATATTTAATTTAAAGTACGAAAAATGTATTTTACTAAAAACATTTTATTACAAAATTATTATTGTTTTTATTCATAAAGGTTATTTTCATTTTTAATTATGTCAATTGTTTTTTAAGCTGAATGCAGTTATATTATTATGCTGGTCTCCTTTTGTCAAAAACGCAATTATGCGATTATGTTTTCCATTATTTTCTACATTAATAACTATTTTAATGATTTTTCAGCTATTGAACTTTGAAGAGCAATATTAAATATATACAAATCTGATGTTATCTCAAATTTGATAAAAATGTCAGTTATGCTGTTATGCCTTTCTTCCACAGAATTAATGTATTGAAAATCATCGAATTGTTGCAAAGAATTTTATTAAAAAATTTGATAATAATAGAATTCCTTCAAATAATTTTATTATTAAGGAAAATAACTGAATTCTCGCAAAGAATTTTATTAAAATTTTTAAAAATTCTAATTAAATTCTTTTGAAGAATTTCTTTGGATTTTTTTTTTAAACTACTGGAGTTTCTTAAATAATTTTAATTGAAAATTTTGAAAGCAATTAAATTTTATGAAGAAGAATTTTATGAAAAATGTATTGAAAATAATTGAATTCCTCCAAAGAATTTTTCTATTTTTAAAATTAATTGAATTCTTACGAAAAATTTTACTATTTATAAAAATAATTGAATTTTATGTTAATTTTTGAAAATATAAATTCTTTCGAGGAATTCTATTAAAATTGTTTTGAAAAGAAGTTTATTGAATTTCTGCAAAGAATTTTACCATTTTTAAAAATAATTGAAATTCTTGCGAAAAATTTTACTATTTTTAAAAATAGTTGAATTGTTTCGAAGAATTTATTAAAATTTTAGGAAATAATTGAATTTTATGGAAATATTTAAAAATATTTGAATTCTTCCGAGAAATTCAATTAAAATTGTTTTAAAAATAATTGAATTCCTCCAAAGAATTTTTCTATTTTTAAAATTAATTGAATTCTTACGAAAAATTTTACTATTTATAAAAATAATTGAATTTTATGTTAATTTTTGAAAATATAAATTCTTTCGAGGAATTCTATTAAAATTGTTTTGAAAAGAAGTTTATTGAATTTCTGCAAAGAATTTTACTATTTTTAAAAATAATTGAAATTCTTGCGAAAAATTTTACTATTTATAAAAATAATTGAATTTTTTCGAAGGATTTATTAAAATTCTTTTAAAAAATTGAATTCTTCCGAGGAATTCAATTAAGATTGTTTTGAAAATAATTGAATTTTTCTAAAGATTTTACTATTTAAAAAAATAATTGAATTGTTTAGAAGGATTTATTAAAATTTTAGAAAATAATTGAATTCTTTCTTGAAATTTTATTAAAATTTTTGAAAATATGAACAGTAATAATTAATTTTGTACTTAATAAGTGAATTTTTTAAATTTTGATTATGAAATTATTTAAAAAATTTATAATTGAAAGTAAAAAAATTTGTAATTTGCATAACAGTAATAAATTGAGTATCACGTTCCGCGCGTAACATTTGCTAGTAATAATATAATATAAAGATAACATATAATTTGTTATCTATATAAAGATAACAAAAAACAAAAGACAACTTCAGAGTGTGAGGGACTGAAAAAGTAAATGAATAAAAGAACATTCAAATTATTATAGTTATATTTTTGTTGGAGAAAAGATTTTATTCTCCAAAATTGTTTTTTCTTCTCTCCTATTTGTACTTTCTTTTCATTTTTGATTTGTCAGTTGTAATACCCTGAAATCGTGTATATTTATTTATTTATTTAATTTAATTTAATTTCTTATATAAAGAAATTTTTATTTTTTTTCATCTTGAGCGGAAAAAAATATTACTCTTTTTCAAATACAGGATATTGAAAGTTAGACGCACACATAAGTTGAATATATATCGAGCTTTTTGAAAAAAAAAGATTCGCAATAAAGATATGACTATATTGCAGAGCCTTTCGTTTAAGATATTTTTTCCAAGTTTCTAACTTTCTAGTCTGCGCGCCCAGTTTCACATCTAAAGTAGAGACTGATGGTGTGTCTTTTTCATAGTGGCGCGGTGTGTTAAAGATAAGCCCTTTAAAACACGATAAGCCTGATTGAATTTCATCCTTCCCTTTTATATATATATCTATAGGTATCCACCACCCTACTTTTAGAACCTCTTACTACCTATACTTTTTCCTTCAGAGATTCTACACACCCGAAACTGTAATAGATAAAGTGTGGAAAATATCGCGCGAAAACACAATATAAACCCCTCATCCCTATAAATTACATGTATCTCTGGTTCAATAGCGGAAGAGTTAATTTTAAAAAAACTATTTTCTTGTAGACGTGTCAATTTTGAATGGACAACAATTAGTTGTATTTTTGTAGTTGTCAAGTGTTTTTTCTTTTTGCTTAAGAAATCTTTTAAATTATAACAAAAAATTTATTGATTATTAATTTAATAATATTCCCAGCTAAAAAAGTTCTATAGAATTTCACTAGAATCATATATTCTATGGAATCATTCTATATGTATTCTATATAAAATATTCTATAGAATTTCTACATGACTTCTACTAAATTTTAATGATTTTTAATTAGAAAGAATGTAAATTTCGTGAAATAATATTTGGCGAACTGAATTCTTTCCTTGTTATTTTAGGTCAACAATTTTCTATTTAAAAGTATTTCTCATTTTGTGTAAATAAATTTTTTCTCTAATTATTTAAAACATCTTTTTTGTTTATTTAAAAACTAGAATTTGTCTGACCGTCTGACTATTTTCGATTTTTCTACTTAGAACACTGAATTTATACTTTATGCCTGACATGATTTTTTTACATTCTCATTTTTTGAAATAATAATAATTGTCTTGTAATTTTTATAGTTAAACTAAAATAATAATTGTCGGATATTTTTTTAATTCTTTAAAGTTTCAGAAGCTATTTTTTTAACATTATATTATTGTATAGTTACTAAAGGACTCGAACTAGATCCGTAAATCCCGTAAAGGTTCGTAAATTTGAGTCAAGTCCGTAAAATTCATCTTTTTTAAAAAAGGTCCGTAAAGTCAGTAATTTGATTAAAAAAGGACAAAAAATCAATTATTTTCAATTATAATAAAATTCTTAGCAGACATATCAATAATGTTAACAATTTTTTTTTTTAAATTCTTGCCAAAATTTAAATTATTTTTATAAATAATAAAATTCTCCACCGAAATTCAATTATTTTCAAAAAATTGTAATAAAATTCTTGTCAAAATTTCAATTATTTTCAAAAATTTTCCTCAATTTAATGATTTTTTGATCATTATTATTTTCACAAAATAATAAAAATTTCATAGAAATTCAATTATTTAAAAATTTTTTATTAATTTCTTCGCAATACAATTCAATTATTCTTATATAAATACTAATTTTTTTCGACAGGTTCTCATTTATTTTTCTAAATAAAATTCTTTTTAGGAATTTAATTATTTTCATAAATATGTAAAACTCATTGCAGAATTTCAATTATTTCCATATAATAATAAAACTCATCGCAGACTTTCAATTATTTTCAATATACAATTTTAATGGAAAGCCTTTAAAATGTAATTATTCTTAAAAATTTTATTAAAATTTAGTAAAGAAATTCAATAATTTTAAAAAACCTTTGCTGCAATTTATTTATTAAAATTTAAGTATTAGTTTCAATATATTTTTAATTAAAATTCTTCAAAGAATTAAATTATTTTCAAAAATTTTAATGAAATTCTTTGCGTACCAATTCAATTTTTTCCAAAATAATTTTAATAAAATTCTTCGTAGAAATTTAATTAATTTCAAAAATTTGTCAAAATTCAATTATTTTCAATGTCTAATAATTCAATAACATTTCACAAAAGAATTCAATTTTTTTAAAAATAAATTTTAATAAAATTCGTCTTAAAAATTCAATTATTTTCTTCGCCTAAATCTAATTATGTTCAAAAATTTACGAAAATTCTCGTCAAAATTTCAATTATATTTATAAATAATATAACATTTTTCTCCGAAATTCAATTATTTTCAAAAATTTTAATAAAATTCATGGCTGAATTTCAATTATTTTTAATACAATTTTCATCAAATTTCTCGAAAAATGCAATTATACTTAAAAATTTTATTAAAATTCCTCAAAAAAAATTAATTTTTTTAAAATTTGTTGATAAAATTCTTTATGAAAATTCAATTTTAAGAAACATGTAATTACTCAATAAATTGTTATTTTTGTATTTAAATAATTGAATTCTAGTAGAATTTTCTAATAAACATTGATTTAAAAATTTCAGTTAAAATTTTAGATTATAATTGAATTTTAAAAGCATTAGAGCGTGGATTTTTAGAAATAATTGAATTTTTAAAAGGTTTCAAATTAAAATGTTTCAAAATCTGAATTTTTCATACTTCTAACTGACAATTTTTTTGAAAAAGTTTAATGGAAAAAAAAAAAAAAAAAAGTTTAATGGAAAGTTTAATGGAATATTTTTTTTTTAATTATTTGAAGTTTTGAATTTCTAACATTAATTAATTTAGGAAATTTATCTTAATTTTTGTTAAAAAAAAAAATCGGAAAAAGTTTTGAAAATTATATTAAAATGTAATTGAAAAAAGTTTATAAAATTTACAAAGTTTAAAGAGTTTATAAGAAATAATGAAAAATGACATAAAATTTTTAAAGTATAAATGTTAACATATAATATAAAATTATCATTTTTTTCAGTTAACACATGTGACTCGTCTGAAGAATGCGACAAAAAGTGCGAATGCAGCCCTAAAATGAAAGTCGTCTACAGGCAGAATATGCTGATCTTTACGTGAGTTTGCAATACTTTTTACAATATTTATAAACTTTTGTATTGTTATTTTTGCTTCGTATTATATTTTAAATATTATGAGTACTTTTCCCTTTCATGAAAAGTTTTTAAAAAATTGGAATTTTCTTTTTTTTTTTAATAAAGTAAATTAAATACAGTGAAAGTTTTAAAATTGCATATACACTCACCCTTGAAGAGATAAAAGTGCTTTGCCATTTTTGCCCATACTTATAATCCCATCGCATAACATTGCCACTTGTACTAAAATTGCGCCTATTAAGAAAGTTAGTCCAACGGCACTTTGTCCATATCTTCGCAAAAATGTCATTAAGAATCCAAAACCGATCCATATCATTACATGAACATCTTGGTACACTGAAAATGTTTAAAAAGCTGTTTTAACAATTTGTGGGACAAATAATTATAGGTACTTATTTAATTTTATAATAATTATTTATTTTATGCTCTCTACACCCTGAAAAAATATATATTTGACTCGGAGCCAACTAGACTTTTTATTTGGTTAAAATAAAATTTAATAATTTTTATTTTTACATAGGAGTTGAAATTTTCAATAAATTTCAAATTCAAGCCTTATTGAAATTCAATAACTTATAAAAGAATATTATTAAGAATAATTACATTTTTCGAGGAATTCAATTAAAATTGTATTAAAAATAATTCCTGAAAAGAATTTTATTTTTTTGAAAATAATGGATTTATTGAGGAAAAGTTTATAAAAATTTGTAAATAATTGATATTTTGCCAAGAATTTTATTAAAATATTTTAATATAGGATTGAATTTTTCAGAAGAATTTTAATATTTATAAAGATAATTGAAATTTGGACGAGAGTTTTTTAAATTAAATAAATAATTGAATGTTTCTTAAAATTGAATTCTCTTAAAGAATTTTATCAACAAATTTTTAAAAATATTTATACCTTTTTCGAGGAATTCGATTAAAATTGTACTAAATATAATTGAAATTCTGCGATGAGTTTAATAAATTTTTGAAAATAATTGAATTACTGAAAAGCATTTTATTATTTATGAAAATAATTTAATTCTTTCGACAAAATTTACTAAATTTTTTTTTAAGTAATAAAATTCTTTTGTGAAATTGTATGGAAATAGTATAGATATTAAGAATAATTGAATTTCAACAAATTTTTGAAATTTCTATGAAGAATTTTATTATTTTTTGTAAACAATTGTATTACTGCGAAGAAATTTATAAAAAATTTGTAAATAATTGAATTCCTGTTAAATTTGTATAATTTATAAAAACAATTTAATGTTTGCGTAGAATTTTATTAAAATTATTGAAAATAATTGAATTCTTTTGGAAAATATTAAAATTTTTGAGAATAATTGAATTTTGGAAATAAGGAAGAAATTTGAAATAATTGAATTTCTGTAAAATTTTTATTATTTATGAAAATTAATTTATGATTGTCTAGAATTTTATTAAATTTTTAAAAATAATTGAATTCTTTTGAAAAATATTATTTTCAAAAATAACAAAATATTTTGCGGGAATTCAATTAATTTCAAAAATTATCATAAAATTCTTCGCGAAAATTCTATATTATTTTCAAAACTTTTAATAAAGTAAATAAATAATAAAATTCTTCTTAGGAATTAAATTATTTAAAAATTTTTTTTACAAAATTCTTCCAATCAATTTTAATTATTTTTAAAAATTGTAATATAATTCTTGTCAAGAATTCAATTAGCATTATAAATATCAAAATTCCTCCCAGAAATTGAATTATTTTCAAAAATAACAATATTTTTAACATGATTCAATCACTTTGAATCACTTCGTAAACTTTTTCGCAGAAATTTAATTATTTTCTAAAATTTTCATAATTTTCTTCGTTGATAATCAATTATTATTGCAAAATGTAATACAATTCTTGGCAAGAATTCAATTATCATTATAAAATATAAATAAGAAAATTCTTCGCAGAATTTTAATTATTTTCAAAAATAACAAAATTTTTATCAGGAATTCAATTATTTTCAAAAATTTCATAAAATTCTTCGCAGAAATTAAATTATTTTCAAAACTTTCAATTAAAGTTCTTGGCAAGAATTCAATTATCATTATAAATAACAAAATTCTTCGCAGAAATTCAATTATTTTCAAAAATAACAAAATTCTTCGCAGAAATTCAATTATTTTCAAAAATAACAAAATTTTAGCAGAAATTCAATTATTTTCAAAAATTCCATAAAATTCTTAGCTGACATTAAATTATTTTTAAAACTTTCAATTGAAGTTCTTGAAAAGAATTGAATTATCTTTTCATAAATAACAAAATTCTTCTTAAGAATTCAATTATTTTCATAAAGAACAAAATTCATAGTAGGAATTAAATTATTTAAATAATTTTCATAAAATTCTTCACAATATTAAAAGCATTATAGCGTGAATTTTTATCAATAATTGAATTTTGAAAAGTTTGCAAATTAAAATTTTTGGAGAATTTGAATTTTTCATATACTTTTAACTAAAAATGCTGTAGATTTAATTTTTTTTTTTTTGAAAAAGTTTAATTGAATTTTTTTTAAAATTATTTGAATTTTTTATTTTCTACAATATATTTAATTGAAAAATTTCTGAATAATCGAAATTTCACGTAAAATTGTATTCTTAAGAAATGGATTTGAAAATTTTCAAAAAATTATTATTATTATTATTATTATTATTATTATTGAAAATTATTAAAAATAATTGATTTAGAGAAGAATGTTAATTGAAAAGACTAAAAAAATTGAATTTTGGACAAGTTACAAATGATTGCACAAAATTCAATTATTTTCTCGTCAAAATTACAATTACATATCTTTATTATAATAATAATAAAATTCCTTTCCAAAATTCAAAATTATTCTCAAAAATTTTAATATTTTCCAAAAGAATTCAATTATTTATTTATTTAGATAAATAAAATAAAAAACCTTTTTTGCAGTATGAAAAATAATTTTCTAATTTTTTCATTCAATTTCTCACTCATAAAGTATTATTTATTGAGGGATGCTGCATGTTTTTTGCTCATTCTCTTTTTTTCGGAAATCAATAGAATAAGAAAATGGAGTTTAAAGAAAAACATTTGCAAGTTATTACAATATTCTAACTCTCGCCGATATAGTGGAGTTTATAAAATAAAATTTTCTTCTATTTGAAAATGTACAGATCTCTTAAAAAGAGTGCAATTGCTTTGTGACTTTTTAAATCTGCTCGGAGCAGTGCCAAAGTATATAGTAAGAAGGAAACTTACACATGTACGTGACTGGCAACATACTCGGCTTTCCATTTAAATAAGGTGTAAAACTGTTCTGCGTATTGCCAGCGTTCGCTTCGGGGGCGTAATCGAAGATGGCCAAGAAACCACAAAGAAGAAAACCTTCCACGAACAATAGAGCAATTCCCAATGCAAGATCCGTAGTCATAGTTTTTCAAATAATCTCGATTTACTTTTTTTTTCCTTTTCTTTTTTAATGTCTTTTTTTATTTTTATTCTCTACTCTTTTATTTTTTATACCTTTTTTTAAAATTTATATTGCTTTAATTCTTCCTCTATTTTTTTTTATTTCTTTTTTTAGTTTTTACTCCTGTATTTTTAATCCTTCCTCTATTTTTTATTCCTTTCTTAATTTTTACTCCTTTATTTTTAATCCTTCTTCTTTTATTTTTTAATTCCTTTTTTAATTTTCACTCCTTTATTTTTAATCCTTTCTCTTTTTTTTAATTTCTTTTTCTTTTATTTCTTCTTTATTCTTGTATTTCTTCTCTATTCCCGCTCGATACTCTTATTGGAGAATTGTTTTTAATGGAATTAAATTAAGGAAGGTTTTTAGTATATTATGTAGAAAATAACTTAAAAATTTTTTTTTTAAACAGAATGGTCTTTTTTCACTTTTAGAGGAATATAATTATTAAACGATATCAAGTTCCGAAATATAATTGGAAAATACAATTTATATGAGAAGGTTATTTTTGAAATAATAGATTTTGCTCGAAAAGTTTTTGAAGATTCTTTATGGCAAAAGTCCACAAAGTAAGAACGAACTAGAACTGAATGTTATTTTAACAGTCGGGAGGAAACTTTGAAAACATTTCAAATGCAAGATAGCCATCTCAGTATATTTTAAAAGGCGTTAGGTCAAACATTCTCTACATCTTCAAGAAAAGATAAATTTATTTTGCAAGCTACTTACTTTTTTCTTATTGTACACCTATAGACGTATTTACGTATTTTATTTTTAGGTGCGACTTTGAAAATATAAATTGAAAAATTAAATTAAAAATCTATTTTCCAAAAAGATGGTTCAACTGATGTAGATGCGCAATTTTGAAACTTTTGTTAATTTTACTATTATAGTACCTAATATTTAACAACCTTTTTTTGAGGAAAATAAATATTAGTGATCATTTTTGGCTGGAACTGTAGAAAGCGATCACTAATTTATCAGTAAAATATATTCGTACAATGTTTCATTGAGGACATTACTACAAATTCCGTTGGAATATATATTTCCTCAAATATCCCGCAGTAATATTCCTTCGATATTCGGTTGATAATTCCTCGAGTATTTAATGGAAATATTTTAACAATGGACATTCAATTAAATTGAACAATATTCCAATGGATTAAAGTTACAATTTACAATATTATTGTTTCTTTATTTTCCAATTAATTAATTTAAATTAGTTATTAATTCTAATTAACTTTCAAACACGAAAGGAATTTGTGTTGTAATTCTAAATTTCTAATTGATAGGCATATTTACAGAACCCCTATTATTCGAAAAAATAAATTTCATTTGATTTAAATAAATTTTATTTGATTAAAGTTACAAATGATTGCACAAAATTCAATTATTTTCGAATGTACCTAATTTAATTCGCAAAAATTCAATTACGTTCAAAAATTAAAAAAAATTCTCGTAAAAAAATTACAATTATCTTCGAAAATAATAAAATTCCTTTCCAAAATTCAATTATTCTCAAAAATTTAAATATTTTCCAAAAGAATTCAATTATTTTTTCAAAAATTTTAATAAATTTTTTGCAATAATACAATTGCTTACAATTCTTTATACAATTCTTTATGAAAATTCAATTTGAAGATACATTTAATTATTTAATAAATTATTTATTTAATTTAAAAAACTCTCGTCCAAATTTCAAATATCTCTACAAATATTAAAATTGTTCTGCGAACAATTAAATTATTTTTAAATATTTTAATAAAATTCTTGGCCAAATTTCAATTATTTACAAATTTTTAAAAACTTTTTCTCAATAAATCTATTATTTAGAAAATAAAATTCTTTTCAGGAATTCAATTAATTTCATAAATA